ATGCACGCTGTTATTGTACGCGCTAGCTACTTTGGGCAACATCTCATCCCAGTTAATCTGATCCGTCCTAATATACATGCGCAGAACTTGCTGTAGGATCTTGTTCATTTGCTCTGTCTGACCGTTAGTCTCTGGATGACGGCCGGACGACATCAATAACTTAGACCCATATACTCCCATGAGTTCTTGCCAACTCTGGCTGGTGAAGCGATTATCTCTATCGCTTACTATTGACAGCGGGATTCCATTCTCACTAACCCAACAGTCAAAGAATCTCTGTATGACTAAATCTGTACGTGCCTCTGAAGGCAAAGGAACAAAAACTGCGTATTTACTAAATCGGTCAACTATGACCATGACTTGGCTCTTGCCATGCCTGCTCTTGACTTGCGTGTCCATGAAGTCGATGGACACTGAGTCCCCCGGCTGGTCCGGAATGGGCAAGGGTCTGAGAAGACCTAGCGGGGCGCGCGTAGAACTCTTGTTACGCTGGCAAACCTTACAACTGCGAACATATTCTACGCAGTCATTCTTCATCCCTGGCCAAGTATATGCGCGCATTAGGTTGGCTAAAGTCTTCTGCCAACCAAAATGACCCTCTGTGTCGTGGCATTCTCCCAAGATCAGACTACGAATCTCTTCGCTATTGGGAATGCACAACCGGTCAAAGACATTAGTCTTCACAAATAGTAACCCTTCAGTAGTGCAGTAGTTTGGCTCAGTCTCTGGGCCTCTTTGACTTTCTTAAGGAGGTTACTGTAGATAGGATCCTGCGCGTACGCTTCTTTAACCCTTTGCTGCAGGTCCTTCCCTATATCAAGATAATGCACTATCGCTCCAAAGTAATCAGCCCTTCTACTCAGAGCATCCGCGACTACGTTGTACTTCCCTTTGACAGGCTTGAGCTCGAAGTCGTACTGATCTATCTCTGCGGCCCACCTAGTAATCTTAGGTGTCATCTTGGCCTGCGTCTTTAACCATCGAAACGTTTCATGGTCAGAATAGACTTTGAAGTGCCTCCCAAGCAAGTAGTGCTTCCAGTTATCTAAGGCTTGCTTGAGAGCGTAGAGTTCCCTCTCATAGGTCGATGTCGCGACCTTCTCTGAAGGCATTCTGGCGGACATGAACTCTACGGGTCTATACCCATTGCCATCGTCTTGTTGTAACACTGCACCTATGCCGTATTGACTCGCATCGGTCGTGACGACCAAGGGCAAGGACGGGTCGGCGACCTTAAGGACTGGATACTCTATCAACGCCTGCTTTAACTTCTTCATGGCAGACGTGCAGTCCTTATCCCACTGCCAGATGGTCTTTTTTCTCAACAATCTGGGAAGGAGCGCAGCGATGGTGGAGAAGTTCTTCACGAACTTCCTATAGTAATTCGCCAAGCCCAGGAACGAGCGCAACTCTGTCAGCGTACGTGGCGTGGGCCAATCTCTAATCGCTGCGATCTTGCTATCCTCTGGCTTAACGCCGTCTCCGTCTAAGACGTGGCCTAAATACAAAACTTGGGTCTTCGCCCAATCGCTCTTCTTTGCATTGATCTTGAAGTTAGCTTCCCTCAGCTTCTCCAAGACCTGCCTGAGATGATCCTGATGCTCTTCAAGGGTCCGGCTAAACACTAAGATGTCATCTAAGTAAACTACAACAAATCTGTCTAACCACGGCCTAAACAAATCGTTCATGCAGCGCTGGAACGTAGCTGGCGCATTGGTCAGTCCAAAGGGCATCACAATGAACTCGTAGTGCCCATATCTAGTCCGGAAGGCTATCTTGTACTGATCATCAGGATGCACCTCTATCTGATGATATCCGGACTTCAAATCTATCTTGGAGAAATACTTCGCCCCCTGCACTCGATCTAAGAGATCGTCTATCCTAGGCAGTGGCTCAGCATTCTTCACTGTAATGGCATTCAGACCCCTATAGTCTATACACATCCTCARCTCTCCCTCTTTCTTAGGGACAAAGAGAACAGGGGGTCCGAAAGGAGACGAACTGGGCCTAATCCAACCCTTTTCGAGGAGCTCGTCCAACTGCTTCCGCAGCTCCTCTAACTCCCGCGGGGACATCCTGTACACAACACCCTTAAGAGTTCTACTCTTAGGCTCTATCTCAATACGGTGTTGGATGGGCCGCGGCACCGTGCCTGTCGGCGGCTTAGTCAAATCCGTAAACTCTTCCAACAATTTGGCAATAG